TTTTATTATTCATTATTTTCACTTGACTCGCATAAATAATTTTGTTCGAAGAACATTTATATGCAGTTGTACTTCGCAGCACTTCACTTGCAATTTGCAATTTCTAGTTCAGTAATTATTGTTCCCGCAGTAGGTTACGAAGAGATAACTACCAAGCTAAGGGTACCAAGCGAATGGACCCCATGTTATGTATCTTCGACTTTAAAAATTGGGAGCCCGAAACGTAAGCGCTGCTCCAACCGCTCCAAAAAAAACAAAAAAACAACCATTCTACCCAGTGGCTAATTCAAGGGGGAGAGGACAGAATTGTAAAAAGAAATTGGAGAAAAAAAGAAAATTACATTCAAATTTTAAGTCTGGGAGTGCCATTTCTGGCCTTTTAGGGGTGACATAATCGTAATTGTTCTTACCTCAGCCCCAACAGTTGGTACTGTCTCTTATACACATCTTTTGAACCTTTTCCTCAAATCCTGTAACTTCGTCTGAATTTGTCGTGCCGTCGTCGGCGAGTGGCCAGGCATAGACGAAAATCTCGCAGCGATCTTCTCATGAATTTTCGTTTTATTCTTGGACTTTTTATCCTCAACTTGCATTCTGACTTCGGGTTCTGCCCAAATCTCTATTAAATCGCTGATCTCTTCCTCGGTCCAACAGGCCCGAGGGCCAGACCCAGTTGAAAGTGACATTTTAGAGATACTGTGTAAATATTAAAATACAACCACCAAAACCGCAACAATTCAGAAAATGGCGTTTGTTTCCAAAATTCGCGCAAAAGCCAGCTACTTTGACCCCGGTAAAATGCTTGTGTCTGATTGGCTTTCACACAAAAGAGGTCACAGATCGCTGGCGACCCGCTTGCAAGCGGCTGTTCACATGGATCGAGAGCGAGCTGCATCGAGAGCCGCTCGAGAGCGGCTTGTCGTGTGTCACCCACGACAAAAACCGCTCTTGAGCGGTTGTTCACATGAAGGCCCGGCTCGCGAGCCGATCGTTCGCTCGCGAGCGACCCAAGACATGTGAACGCGGTAATTGAGATTTAGTTTGTGTAAAGCATCGTGTGTGTGTGTTTATGTAAGGGATTGTCACCTACAAGTAGGACAGTGATATATTCGCTATTGACAATCCTTGGCACATGTATTGTGTGCCTAAATAAAATTTTTAAAAAGAAGTAAAATAAATACGTTTTTTTAATATCAAAAGTTAAAGCAGGTATAGTGATGGTGAAATCAACATGGAATTTTCGATAGAGTTACCTGTATATGAAAGCCCAATTAAGTCATCGTTCGCTTTTAAACACTCACGTTTTTGAGAAATTATAAAAACAATGAAGTGTAGGCAGTCCGGCCACTTCTGGACCAATCAAAATATACTGTGGCTTTAATATAGCAGCTGCCTTGATAAAAAGCAAAAAGCACTCTTTTTTTCCATAGGTAAACTGCAGGATAAATTAATATAGAATTTATTCTCCAGAGTACAATACACATATTTTGCATGATACATTATCATTCGCATTACCTTAATAATATTGCATTTTCAAACCCCCTATTACATAATACGAACATATTTATGTAAGGGAAATTAGCCAATGCCGTTTTTTTCTTCTTTTTTTTTTACGTATTAGCTTTCGCTTTCTTCTTTTTTGTCATGTAGGGAGCAACAAAGACGGCGAAAGTGGGCGGAGTTGACCGTCTCACCGACACCTCAAAATACACCGGTTCGCACAAGGAGCGCTTTGACGATTCGGGCAAAGGGAAGGGACTAGAGGGTCGTGTAGACCGTGACGACAAGGCAGCAGAGGGTTACGTAGGCGGGTACAAAGGGAAGGATTCTTACGATAAAAAACATTAAAACGACAAAGTGTATCTTGATGAGAGTTACCTTTGAATAAAGGCAGAAAAATGTTAACATTTAATTTTAAGTGTACAATGCACTCACTCAAAAGCTTTATGTTTTCCAGTGTTTAGAAATCTACGATAATGGAACTCTAGTAGTTACATTAACCATGGAGGAAATATATAACAGCAATGTGTTGTCTACAGTAATAATTATTCGAATGTTATATTCACAGGAAATAAAACAATATATATATATACATAAGTGATTTTTTTTTCTAGTGTTTTGTGTAAAATTTGGTTCAGTTAATTCTGGATGCACAATTATTGTATAGCCCTAGTATACTTTCGAAAGATCCATGGTGAAAATAACACCGTTTATGCGGTGATGTTTTAATCACTATATTAGAGCAACTGACAATTTTTTTCCAACATGATAAGTAACATCAACCCTATACGTCTGAAAACCCAAGATTTACATTATATCTGGACACAAGAACCCATAACACATTATATTCTACCAAACATCAAACGTATTGTCACAAATCCTGGCTCCCTTGAAAGCAGGAACCAACTTGCAGAAGAACTCAATTACAACCACACCTACATCCATTGCATGTTTCATTATTTTGACGAAGTGGCATTTTGTCCTCAGACGCCTGTGTCCTATTCGTTTGAAAATAAATACAGTGTTCTATAATCTACATGCCTCGTTGTCATGACTTCTTTTGTTTCAACACCAGATATAAAATTTCAAGAACACACGTCGATCTACATGCAATATATATAATGTAATAACAAATATAGGCCTATGTAACTTTATACAGTATGAACTCGAATGCGTCATTGTGAAGAGGCAGGTATGCAAGTTTCTGTTTTATGATATATATTATTACCGTATAGATGACCTTGTTTATATTGTCCACAATTTAAAAGATGAATATGTGCATATACATATCTGTTAATTTTTGACAGATATTATAATTAACACAGTTAATCAATATTTATTAAATTATAACTTATAACACACCTAGGATGTTGGAAAATGATAGGTAAAATGTGTCTCATAACACGCAGATACGATTATGCTGAATTATGGGCGTGGCCATTACTACTGTTAGCAGTCGATAGAGAGGGGCTAATATACTCATGTTCATATTGTATTCTACAATTAACGACAGGGGCTGAAATTAACAATAGCATCGGGGTAACCCTTACCATTTACGTATTCCCCGAAAGAGTTCTTTGAACTATACTGACACCAGCAGTGAGGCGAAGAGGGGAAACTGTAACAGGGCAAAGTGTTGGTGTGGGCATAGAGAAAATATTTCTATTTTCTCTATGGTGTGGGCACCCAGTCACGAGCACGAAGCGCGAGATAGATTGCGCCGAAAGCGCCAAACAATTTTTTAGGGTGCCCTGACAAATTGGATGGCCCATTATTCGAGGATCCATGCCATTATTGAGGGCCCATGATAGTAATTATTATTTTTGAAAAAAATATAATATGGAAAAAAATGATACCCGCAATACTATTATTATTATTATTATTATTATTATTATTATTATTATTATTATTATTATTATTATTATTGTTATTATTATTATTATTATTATTCACTGTCACT